GAGGGGGTGCGGGGGGAGACCATCCTCTGCCTCGGCCCTTGCTTGAGTCACTTCACTAAGTCACGCAGTAGCTGATGTCCTTAGGTCTTGTCCTGTGCCCCGGCCCCGGGGGGGCTCTGCTGGTTTGTCTGTGTTTGTCCCTTCTTTTGGTTTCTGTTTTGTTCTTTTTTTGGTTTATTTGGTTTGTTTTTTTGGTTTGTTTTTTCCCTCCTACCTGATTTCTTGTGATTTCAACCGACATGAAATGAATATAAAGGGTTTTTTTAATGAAGCCCAAGTGTGTGTTTCTTGAGGCATCGCTGCCGGTGACGAGGGGAGGGCAGGAGCCTCCCCCTGCCCAGGGCTGGCGCTGGGACCCCCCCACCTCCACTGCACCCCAGCCCCTGCCTGCTGGGCAGCAGCTCTGCCTCTTTGCCTGCTCTTTTGCAAAGATCCAAAGCTTTTGTACATGGAAAATAAGGATGTTCCAGCTCCGGCGCCGGGTCCTCTTTGTGGCCGTGTCCCGACCCCGCTCGGAGGCTGCTCTTGCTGTAACCCTGCCCTGGGGAGAGGTTGGTTTCTTTTTGCTTTTCCAGGGCTGATTTCATGCTCCATAAACAAAACCCAAATAAAACCTTTTGCCTCTTGCCCAACAGGGCAGAGCAGGGGGGGATGGGGGTGCTGTGCCTGGTGCAGGGCTGGGAGCTCAGCCCCATCCTCATGCTATGGAGAGAGGGAGAGACATGGAGGGAACCCAGCTCCTCATGCTGGGGATGGCAGATGGGGACATAGGGATGTGTCTGTGTGCCCCAGGAGGGGCTGGTTAAGCCCCACACTGCCCCATCAAGGTGTGGCCCCCCCCTTGGGCCATCATGCAGGAGTATTGAGAGCCTGTGTGGAGACCTCAGAGCAGCTCCAGTGTCTGAAGGGGGCCACAAGGATGTAGAGAGGGGCTCTTCATCAGGGACTGGAGTGATAGGACAAGGGGTGATGGGTTCAAACTGAAACAGGGGAAGTTCAGGTTGGAGATAAGGAAGAAGCTCTTCGCCGGGAGGGTGCTGAGGCGCTGGCCCAGGGTGCCCAGAGAAGCTGTGGCTGCCCCATCCCTGGCAGTGTTCAAGGGCAGGTTGGACACAGGGGCTTGGAGCAACCTGCTCTAGTGGAAGGTGTCCCTGCCCGGGGCAGGGGTTGCAGCTGGAGGAGCTTTAATCTCTCTTCCAACCCAAACCCTTCGATGATTGTATGATTTAAGGTAGATCCAAGGTCATTCCATCGGTATCCCCCCAACTCCCCCATTGCCTTTGGCTGTTGCAGCCCCCCATCGGCGCAGAGGGCAGCACAGGAGCACGGAATAGCACCAAGATACGGACAGGAGCTTGAGCAGAGCTTGTTGATGTGTCCAGGAGGGTTTCAGGCCCTCGCACGGAGCTGGAGCTGGTTCAGTTTGGACCTCACTTGTGCTTAGGGCTGCAACCTC